CATGTCTTTCTTTTTTTTTATTTCGTTCTCTTATGTTCAGTCAAACGGAACATATCATATTGAAAATACACAGTTGACTCTTTTTGAGTCTTTAAATAATGTGACATTATTCAACTATCGATATTCAGTTGAAAATAATTGATATCTTTTTTTATGCCGACAATTTCATTGATCGAATGGCGTACGAATTGGTGTATGGCACCTGAATTGAGGCGATTAAGTAAGACAATACATTTTTATTCGAGAAATATAATATTCGAACTAGAACCGAATCATTTTTTAAATAGACTGTAGGTTGATGCGTTAACGCATTTTATATTGATCATAAATCGATTATCGCAAATCAATTCATCATCACCCATCATTTTTGACATTTTGAACATTATTTTCCCTTTGCACAAAAATGAAAAACTCCATTATTTTGAACACCCACAAGCACATTCTAGCCACTGAAACTTCGAGAACAGACTTGAAATGTTCTAGAATTTTGCAGAAATATCTAAATCTTGTTGCTATTGCAGTTGAAAACCATTCTCCGCTACTAAGGAGGTCTGATAAATAAGTCTGACGGTTTTGTCTTCTTGATTGACAACGAACACTGACTATATTTTTTTTTATTATCATTTCCTGTTTTTTAGTGAACGCAATTAGTGAATTAAATCGTACTAAATTGCAGAAATAAAGTTAAGTTGTTTACATATTTTATGTTATTACTTTTTACTATGGCATTTTGTTGCGCATGAAAAAAGTCGCCATTCGACGAAACCTTTGAGAACTTTGTTTTTTATTTTCGTACTTAACATATCTGGCAATCATTTTTCTACGATGATTCAGTCGCATCAATTTATTTTTTTCTGCGCATAAATATAGGTGGTTTTTTCCACAACTTGAAAGAACGGAAGAAAACGTGATGAAAAAAATATCTGCCGTCAACGTAAAATGTCAAAGAGAACGTTTTTTTTGCATTCTTTTTCTTTCTTTTATTGAGGCAGCAAAAAAAAACAAAACAGCACAATAACATTTTTTGAAATAAGACAGTGTCGTATCAAAAACTATATCAACTACTTCTTTTTTCACATTTTTTGTTTCTTTTAGATTACATTTATTCGAATAGAAAAATGTCAGAAGTTCAACTTAGTATGATCGTGTATGGCACTGAAGACATTTTGGAACAAACAGAATTATGTTTTCCAATTCCTATACTTATATTTCACAATGTAGTATCTCTACTTAGTAGGGTTAGCAACAATTCTAGAACCACAGATTTAAGACTAAAACGTTATTTTGTATTGCTTCTTGAATCCATTGGAAAAGATGAGGATCTGTTCTATACACAAATGGAAGAAAATTCTCAAGTAATATCTATATTTTATGTTTGGAATGAAAATTTTATACCTACGTTTAAAATTACAAAATTATATTACATACCAAAAGAGTCGATTGGTCTTGCTTTGACCTTGAGTATGATTCAATTTCTAAGAAATGAAGCTGAAAAACAAATGAAGCTGGATCAAATCCCATTGGCGAAAATCTACTTAAGAAAAGCAGAGAAAACTAAAGAATGGATTATGTCAAATTTAAGAGTATGTTGATACATATATTTTGAAAAGAAAATTGAATGAATTAATTTTGTTTAGGCTGAACCGTGTCATATATTAGTGATACCTCTAAATACTAACAGTACAAATTTGGCTAATACTATACAAAGTTTACGGCAGTATTGTAAATATTTGAAAAATTATCAATGTTTCAAATTGATGAAAAATTCTTCTGTTTTCTTTTTATTCAGGTGCAAAGTTCGGTTATCCAGAGGCTATAATATGTCCACTTGATGATTATATTCCAAAAAGTGAAATATATCATAAATTACCATATGGAAAACTTTTATTTGAATATGAAGATCCGAAAATAATATGTCGTTGGATTCGATATTTATCACCAATACGTATGTACCTGTATGGAAATGAACAAGTTATACCAAATGAATGGAGTAAACAAATGATTTCAAACGAAGTCGATCATTCTCTTAAACTAATTGTTAATGATGATGATTGGTACACATTTCTTGAAAATGAATCAATTAGTGATAGTATTAAATGGAATTTTTCCGCTAAACATGGTCGAACATGGAAAATAACTCAACTAACACCAATTGCATTAAATAGTCTAGAAGATAATATTCGTTTTCGATCGTCTCTTCGACGTGCCAATATTACATATTATTCTCGTATGTCGATTGTAACTGCACAGATCTTTGATTGGTTTGATGAATGTTTAGAATATGGTTATGTTAAGAATGAGGTATCTATATATTTCTCACTTAGAAACAAAAATCTTTTCTTTTTTTTTTTAATATATCGAATTCGTTGTGTACGTTTACGTTGTATACTAAGATAAGATCTGTAGTAAATAATATTAACTCAATACCCTTTGATAATCGAAAATTTGGAAACGGAAATTCTATAAGTTTGAAACGATTCTAATTATTCTATTCAAGTAAATTTGAAACCGAAATACTATGCTTTGAAAATGTATAGTAAGTGAAAGTTTTGAGTGAAGGTTTAGCAACTCTTTTCCTTTATAGCACCAGGAGTTAAGAATCAAAGATTAATGATTATGTTTTATCTACCAGCGCAAGTAGAGGAAGAAAGGTCAACCATCATTCGGTGTGTTTCTCTATTAACCGAGGACAACAAAATTAGACTACTTTCTCAAAATTCTTTAACAACGAAAAATGTTTTGAACGACACTAAAAACAAGATTTAAGCTGTCCTAGAATATTTCAAAGTCTTTCTTCGAAACTTCAATGACAAAAATAAGTTTTTGAATATTCTAAATAATGCAGTTTTTCATTTTCGGTAGATAAAAATTTATATTTAACGTGTCAAAGATGATGGATAGTGATGCATTGATTTGTCACGGCCATCATTTGATTAGCATAAAAAGCACGAAACAATCAAGTTACAACTTTGAGGAATAAACAATAATAGCATTTCTGAGCTAATCGAGACATATATCAATGCGCTGAGACATGCTCTAGATGTGATGAATATGACAATAGACGTGTTTACCAGTTCAATCGATGATAAGAATAATAAGAATAAAGTAACATGAAGAAAAGTGGAATACAAAAAACAATAACTAGCGAATTGTAATAAGACAAATAAAATATCAAGGCGTATTCATACAACTTTCCTTGTACTTCTAATACTGCCTCTTTAAGAACTTTTCAGATACTAAGGCTAGAAATGAACTATTTAAGTAAGTAATTTTTTTCCAGTACACTTCAAGCTACAAATTCCGAAATACTATGATTTGAAAGAGACTTCCGCACTGCTTTGAACTATGGAGATTTTTTTTTAAAATTAGCAATGCTTTCTTGATTTTTGAAAGTTACAATCTACAAATATTACATGAAAGTATCTAAAAAAAACTAGCATATTTCTATTAATCGAGTGTACTTGAACAATTTCTTTCTCTCATGCAAAGACGATAATCTTTCACTATGAAAAACTTCTATTTTAGTTCAAATTAACTAGACGCGATAAACCGGTTTCAGTAAATGATGACAAAGATACACAAGAAACTTATCTTTCATCATTAAGACTCGATCGTAGTGAAGAAGTGGATTACTCATCAACTTTTAATGAAAAGGATAGTGGCTCATACAGTTTAACATATTCATCTCATCAATCAAATGAAATAATTAATTACTATTTAAATAAATTCGATCGAATGTATATATGGGTTGATAGTGATTTCTATTCAATTGAACAACGTTTTCAATCAATAGTTTATCCTAATCAATGGAACACTTTTTCAAATATTAATGAATGTCAAAAGTTTATTTTAAGTCAACAATTACAATATAATCCAAAAATATATTTAATTTCATCGTATTATTCAGCTGAACAATTATTTGCGTATGAACATGTATCTAATATTCATGTAGCTTATTTATATTCAAATCAAAATGATATACCACCTCGATGGATAAATGTTTTTCCAAGAATACGAGGAATTTATAAAAATTTAGATTCACTTTTTGAACAATTTAGTTTTGATATAACAACAAATATTGAATTATTACCATTTCAACATCAACAGAAAGTATGTACTTATAAACATTCGTTTTTTTCTTGTATTAAATAACTTTTCTGTTTTCGTTTTTGAAGGCACATGAAGATCCATTGCCAGTAACATTTTTAGATACAGATCAAGACGGATTTAAACGTCAGCGATATTTAATTGAAATCGTACTTAAATTACCACGTGTATTGGAGGCTAAACAAGAAATGATCGATGAACTTCGTCGTGTATCAATTGACAATGATATATTTTTAAAACAGATAAATGATTTTGAACAAAATTATCATTCAAATGCAGCTATACAATGGTATACACGTGATTCTTTTCTTTATCGTTTATTAAACCAAGCATTACGTTGTGAAGATATTGGATCAATAATAAAACATCGATTTTTTATTGCTGATTTATATCAAAATTTAGAGGAACTCCATAATCAAATGCTTAGTTCATATAATAGCTCACAGCAAACTATATTAACATATTATCGAGGACAATCGATGCCACCGTCTGAAATCGATCAATTGAGAGAACACGTTGGAAAACTTATATCAATTAATACGTTTTTCTCTACGACATCATCCCTTGACATTGCGCTTATGTTTGCTGGAGGATCGACACTTGAAGGTATAACATCGAATAAACCAGTTATATTTAGTCTTGAGGTCAATCCACTTATTGAAAACACACGACCATATGCCAATATTAATTTTTATTCTGCTTATGAGGAAGAAGATGAAGTTTTATTTGCATTAGGTTCAGTATTTCGTATAGAAAAAGTGGACTTGTTATCTGTAATTGATAACATACAAGTGATACATCTAAAAATGATCGATGAAAGTGAATTACCAAAAGAATATACCACAAATGATTTTTCACAAATTTTTCCCGAACAATTAATTTTAGGTAAAGTAGAAAATTTATCATTATCAAAAAATGATTATTTTGTAAAAAAAATAAAATTTTTTTTATAGATCCAATTTATGCTATTGTTGGTCTAACTTCTTTATTTCAAGATAATGAACAATATTCTCCTATTAAATCTATACTCGAGGAAGCTGACGTTCAATTCTTCGAAAATACTGATGACTTAGATCATTATATAAAATCGATACAACGAATTCAATCTTTTGTCATTTTTATTGATAGCCGATTACCTATTCTTGATCGAAATCAACAAACAAAAACGATTTCATTTGAAGAGAATGACATGCATTTTAACGACCTTATTTATGAATTATTGTATGAAATGCAGAGCAATAATAAGAAATCAAAAGAACATATTAAAGAGTTATGTATGAATGTAGCCAACGTCTATTGTCCTTCAAGTAAGTTACTTGTGTACTATTTAGATCTTCATCATTTATTTTGTTCTACAAGTATTTTACCTCAAAATACCTCGTTAATAGACATATATATATATATAACAAAAGTAAAGTTACACAAGACAGTAGATTCTATTTTCTTAAATAAAATGAAGATGTAAAATAGAAAGTCGTAAATCTTCGAGCAAAAAGTGTAATTCTTCTTTCTAAAGAATAAAATAGATTTTAAGACTTGTAGAGATTCATGATATTTGCTGTTGCTACACTATAGCTTTCAAATCTTAAATATTCTGTTAAAATAATAGATTCAAATAGGTCAATCTTTTAGTAGCGAAAGTTTTCTTCCAAGTGTTTTGATGAAGGTGATTTAGACAAGACATAAAACCAACAAAAAGTCGATGTGGTTCAATGGACTTTTTCATCATTATACATTTGTGTCACACGAAGCTACTCTCTAGATAAATATCGAAAGACTTGAAAAGGATTCAAACAGCATTCGATAGTTTAGATTTGTGCGGCGATTTTCAAACAAACGTCAACTTTTTAACGAATGGTTTTCTAACACTTCGACATCTGGCATGCTGTGACTGAGGCTGTATAACGAAGAAAAACTAAAGCTTTCGAAAGTATAGTCGACATGTGACCTGAAAGGGACCAGCTTCCATCATAGTTCTTTAGATAACTTGCTCGATGAGTTACGAAACTCTACAATCATCATAGTAGCAAGCATGCGAATCACTAAAAACATGTAAGACTATACAGCTAAAATCGTTACAATGCTTTGTACAGTATAAAATAAACGTATATATATCTTCCTAAAGCCTTTTGGGTGAACTCTTATTATCCAATAGAAGACTCATATAGGTATCTGCTATTTAAATTCGCAGCAATCTATTCCAACCTTTACAGTTTTCACTAGAAAAAGAGTATAGCAATAATGAATTAATGTGAATAAATATTCATTCTATCAGGACAAACAATATATCGATCTTTTTGTGTTCGATGACTACTTTTAGTGATGTGAGATCCACAGACCCTATGTTATGATCACTGGGAGAACATCATAAACAGGTTCATATCAGATCCAGTTTATGGGTGTCTACTAAATAATTTTCAAATGACAACGCATCAATGTGACAGAATTGATACGAATTTCTGTATTATCCTATTCAGTTCAAATAACTGAGGTGCTAACGGCGATATATTCTGATGCACTAATTTATGTCACATTTGACTTTAGAGCAACTTTCTTTAGAAATAAAAAATGATGTGAATTTTGTAAGCTGTTTATAATCAAGATAAATTGTATCTCTTCATTCAGTGATTACACTCGTCTGTTTCTATGAAGAACAAACTCTCGTAACCTCTCGAAAGAGCTCTGCAATGAACTGTACAAGAAACTAGCTTAGAATGGTATCCATAAAAACGCTAAGTGACAGAAGTCACATTATGCACAAAATAAAAACGCTTGCTGCTGTGTAGTCTTACATCTTTTTAGTGATCTGCATTCTTTCTACTGTGACAATACTGAAATTTTTTTAACTTATCGAAAGCGTTATGTAACGAATTATGATAGAAGCTGACTTCTTGCAGTTTACACACATATGAACAATAGTTTTTTGAAAGCTTTAGTATGTTCTCATTATGCAATCTCATTCGGAATATTTCAGATGTTCACTTGCTACAAAATTGTTCGTTCATAAGTTGATGTTTGGAAGAAAATCGTTACAAAAATTTGAACTATTAAGTGTTGTTTGAACTCCTTTCAACTCTTTTGATAGTTATTCACATAGGAGCTTACTCTTACATAAAGATCTGATCAATTCCAATGGATTAATTAATGTCGTTTTACGACTAATTCATGTTGAAAGAAATTCTTTAAAGTTTCTTGAGTTCCGCACTAAAAAACTTGCCAACTAGAACACTTTCATTCAATATATGACGTTGCTGGTGAATATATAATGAAAATGTTCAATAAAACTACATCATTTTCTTCTTCACCCTACGTACTTTTTATGTGATCTATACCTGTAGTATTGGCATGACCAGAAGAAATCTTTAAAAAGTAGAGATCTCTACCTCTATTAAGTTCTTCTTTATCCTCTCTAAAACAATTCTTACCGGATAGGACCTTGTCAATGGATACCATTTTATGAACTTTTTTAAAGATTCCAGACTTTTCGACTAGAACTATTTCTTCCAAAAGTTTTTCAGCCAAAAGGTTCTAGTTCAAAATTCTAGAACTTTGCACAGGTTCATAAAATGGTACTCACTGAACAGGTTCTGTATGGTACATTTCTTTCTTTTACACAGTAATAGATCTCACATCGGCACGCAGAACGGCTTCATAATTTTCTAGAGAGGCTTTATCTCTCTTCGGACCAGGGATGTCTCAAGTATGAAGGGGAGGGGGCGTCGAAGGATGATCTTCTTCCAATGTTGAAAAATTTTCGTTTTTTCCCAATGAATCTGAACAATTTTCTTCTTTTTGTTTGTTAATCAATCCCCATCACATAGTTCGATAGTCCGTAATGTCGTTAACTTTACTGTCGCAGTAGTTGATCCCCCTCTGAATCTTAGTGATCTTGAGGCATTCCTGCATTGGAATATGTCAATTACCTTGTACCACTCAATTCGGTTTGATTCTGGTTACATGTGACAGAATTCGGATCTCTAATCAATAGACAATTTCAACGGTATGATCAAACAAAGTGAAAAAGAAGCCATAATCGCTGTATAACTGAAAGTCCTAGTTTTTTTTAATTATTTGTTCTTATTAATTCTTCCTCTAGGCGAAAGTACCTTTTATGTTCAACTTCTTCTATCGTCAACTTCGAAAAAAAAGTCTGAAGAAGAATTTAAAACAAAATTTTCATCATCATCAATTATCACTTTCTATCAAACTGAGCCATGTATTTATTTCCTTGAATCTATCAGTGAACCATCGAAAATAGGCAATGCGATACTTATTCTTCAATCGGATGATACTAATATTGATAGTATAATCGATCGATTTGAACAAATTGATTCCATAAAAAATATGTATATCTGTTCAAAAAATGCTTTTAATATACAATATCGAAGGATTATTCATGGAAAATTCTATAATGAAAACGATTTATATGCACAACTTTATTCTGACAATTTAACTCATTCATTTATACAAGCTAATGAACAAATTGACATATATAAAAACAAAAGTGAAGCCAGTCGATATTTTCTACAGATGGATCAATTCTATAAACTTATAAAAGAGTATCAAAATCAAGAAAAAAATCTCCTTGAATGATAACACAAAATAATTAATAATAAACAATCTATTAAAACACTGAACTATTTTTGTCTTTTTTTTTGTTCTTTTGTGTTGTTTTCTTTATCATACTATTTGAAAAGATTTCATACTTGTTTTCAGATTATAAAATATTTATAAATGGAAAATAGTTCTTTTATAATTATTGATGCAACTGTGGAGTCTCAAGCACCTTTTTTCGCGCAAAATCCCATATTTCAAAGATGGTTACGTGCTTTTAATAATGTAGCTGAAGCATTACAATTTATATCACAAATAAGATTACCATATAGTATAAATGTATATTTAGCAAGAGATAATATTCTTGATGATGGTCTACCATCAGACATAAATGGTCAAACACGTACTCTTATTCAAACTGTAAGCGATTTAAGAACAATTCGTCATGTTGTCATATTTACTCCTAAAATGAGTGCTGGTCTTGAGCAACAAATTCGCGCCATTACTCCCGATCCAAGAGTCATTAAACAAGTTATATCTGTGATCGATTTACACTTTTTTATATGTAAAGAAGGTATATGTTGTTTTCAAGAAGAAATGTCTCGTTGTATCGTTACAAAAGAAGCACATCTTATACCAAATTTAAGTCGGAATAGAGATGAATTATGGGAATATTTGGAAAAAGTCAAAAATGATCGACAACAAATACTAGATGCTTTGGTAGAAGAACATTATAATAGGCCCGGTGAAGAACCAGAATAAGCTGTCATTGATCTATATTTTGTTATATCGGCAATGAAAAATCTTTCTTTCGAACAATATTTTTGCCGTCCATTACCTGAGATGTCTAAATATGTTATTTTGTTCTTTTTGTTTAAAACTTATGAGGTTATGAAGTTTCTTTTAAAAAACAGAACTAAATTACCTTCTAATTTTCTAAACGCATGACAAGTTCAGAGTATCAATTATAATTTGAAAAAACGTTTTATGAGACGTATTTAGAGTAGCTTTAGCTATTTTCGATTAGTTCTTTTCATAATAAGAAAATAGAATGTGTTTGACAAAATTTTAATATTGATCTTGGACGAATTTCGACATACATTTGAAAAAAAAAGCATCATATGATATCATTCATTATAAGTATTAGGCTCTTCTTTCGTTAGTACCAACATGAGTTACGACAGATTCGCTGTTATATAAAATTCGAAAAATGGCAGTAGTGCTAGGATTTTAGGTCAAGGGGCGGAAGAAACTGAGTCTCTTTCAGACCTCAAGTGGAATTAAAATATGAAACTCGATGAAGTTACTATTGCTCATTACAAGAAAATAGTTTTATTCTATCTATTGTAGGAGACAATTTTTTACCATCGTTTTACTTAATTCTACAGAAATGTAATAAGGAAGTAATTTATACATGATAATGAGACGTTACTGATATACGACCTATGATCTTATATTAACAAGATCTGTCACAGTCTGTGGCACAGGGTGGGAGGGAAGCGTTGCTAAGGCATTTGCCACGGTCTGTGACGAAAGAGAGATGTTGCTAAGTATGTCTGTAAGAAGTGAAAGGGTTCAAATTTCTACTCGTATACTTCAATATTCCTATCGGGTCGTCTGTCAAAAAATATTATCCGAAGGCTCAGCCTCCTGTGGTGCTGCCACAAACAAAGACCTGCAGTATTCAACATACTGAGTTCAGGATACTCCGTTACAAGCGTGTTCGATATATTACAACTATTTAAGTACATTAGGATACTGTTAAGTAATTATCCGGTATTTTAATGCAAAGACCATGAGATATTCATTCAACTGACATGTTGCAACAGCTTTGTATTGTAATTACATTAACTGTATCTTTTTTGTATCATGCACTGAACAAGTCTTTAGTTGATGCTCAGTTAACTATCGAAGCAGGAAATTAAGACAAAAAAAAAAGTTCGGTTCATTTTAGCTATCATTTTTATAATGAAAGAAAATATGTTCTATTATCTATAAGAAGAAACTCATAGCTTCATGGTTTATATATATGTAATATTTTTCTTTAATTTTTCTAGGAAATTCTTTGTTTTTTTTTATAAAAAATGTGTTCTTTTCGTATAATTTATCATTGTTTCTTTTAATTCCGAATAAAAAATTTGATATTTGATACAATTTGATTCAAGAATGTTCTAAATGACTTCATGAAGAAAATTTTGTACGATAGAAATATAAGAAAAATCGACGTCTAGCGACTCCCATTCAAACTCCTCGACTACTGAATCATCTAAACTCCAATAGTAAAAGTTATTATGTAATAAATTTTTTTTTCACGAAACTTTTGCTTTATTTTTATTATTAATTTAATTATGAGTGGTCTAAGAAAATCATCACGAATACGTAAACCTATAACAACCATAGATCAAAATCTTGAAGATGAAGAAGACGAACAAGTATTTATTACAGCAAAATCAACTCAATCAAGAGCATCAACTAAGCGCTTGTCAACGGACGATTATGATGAACAAGAAACAATTACACCAAAAAAACGACAAAAGAAAAAATCATCAACAACAACTACAAAAACGTCACCATATTTTAAAAAAAAATCAAAAACAAAAAAAACTGCTCCTAAATCAAAAAGCAAAAAAAAGATTGAAACAACAAATAATCAAAGTACCGATGAAAATACAACAATATCTACTGATACTACTAATCTACCAATAAAAAGTAAGTCAAATTAAGATCAAGTATAAATTAATAGAATTTCTCAATTAGCAACAACAGCAAGTGTTGAGAATGATACCGATTCCGATGATGATGATGATGATGATGCATGGGAAAATATTCATTCAAAGCCTAATGAAGAAGTTGCTATTCAAAAAGTATTAAATAATAAATATTAATCTCAATTTTCATAATAAAAATTATACTTTTATAGTTACTTAAAGAACGTGAAGAAAGACAATCAACTACAATAAATGATGAAGTTGAAGTAAATTTAACTAGTGATGAAGTTGCCGCAGCTCAAGGTAAACGAAAGAAAAATCTCAATTCTAAAGAACATCAATTAGAACTTCAATTAAAACGTGTATTAAAAAAAAATTTTTTACAAAAACATAAACATCATATTGTTTGTAATCTTGGTCATGGTTTTCATTTAACAAAAACATATATAAATAATCAAGAATTACGTTCACTTATGTTTTCATTACTTGATGAATCAATAACAAAAACACTTATTTATAATAGTAAAACAACAAATATGAATGATATACATCGTCTTGTTAAATATTTTAATGAAATTTTTATTCTTATTGATAAACCATCAAATGATATACGAGAAAATCAACCAATAACAATGGAAAAATTACGTCAAGCTATGAGTGATCATCTTACCAATACATTATCATCTATAAGAGTTATTCTTTTTGCTATATATGTTCGTCTTCTTCAATATGAATGTCGATTAGTATTTGCTGCTGATTTACCACCAATTCGACCACGACAAGAAAAAGATGAAAAACTTCATATACCACATGGTAGTCTTAAAAAAAATATTAAGAAAAAACAACCAACTATATCCGATGATGATAATAGTAATAGTACTATGAATGAAGATATATTACCTCTTCATTCACATGATCATTCATCTGATTTATCTCGTGTTGTTTCTTCAAGTTCATCAGAAATAATTAAAAATGATCAAGCTATTTCACCAGAATCAACAACAAAAACTTCTAAAGAATTAAAATCTAAAATAAAAACACGTTCTTTAAAACCTCGATATTATTGGATTGAACTTTTTATTGAAACAATAGATGATGGTTATATTCCAATTGATATTTATACATCAAAAATAAATTCCGTAACCGAATTTGAAGTTAATATTAAATTTCCAATGCTTTATGTATGGGCATTTGATACGGATTTATCTAGTTTATATGCTAAAGATGTAACAAAACGATATTCACAAAAATGGTTAACAACATCATATCGTACATCAAATATAGAACATAAAACAAATGGTGATCCAAAATGGTATAAAAAATTTATGAAAAAATATCAACCAAAAGATAAAAAAAAATCAATATATTCGGAAGTTGAAAATAAACAAATTGAAAGTTTGTTAATTATTTTAACTTAATCTATTTATATATTTTTGTTTTAAAAAAGATCAATTAGCTCGACAACCAATTCCACAATCAAAATCAGAATTAAATGGACATCCATTATATGTATTAAAATCTAAATTACTTAAATTTGAAGGAATTTATCCAAATGATACACAACCAATTGGATGGTTTAAAGTAAGAAAATGAATTTATTCTTAAGTTATCATCTTTTAGTTCTCTTCAAGACGTTTGAGAATATTTCTATATTCATAGACGTAAGATCTCAATAATCATGATCAGCACATGAGATTGATTTATAAAGGAAAAAATGAATAGATATTTTAGATATTTCACTTTAAAAGAGTCATCAGAGATAATCAGTCCTCGTTGCACGAGTCAAAAATAACATAAATTAGACTGCTGGTATTGACTACGAACTTCATTTATGTACAATATATAGTTAATACAAAGGATACAGAGACAATAGTGATGGTTTACTGATTATAATGTATAAGTAGATAAATTTGTACGGTCGTCCAAAATTCTGAATGATGTTGATTTTCAAAATACCCTTAAGCATAGAAGTATTCATTCCATTTTTTTGTTACGTAGCTAGTGGAAATTAAAAGTATAAAAAACAAAAAAGACTCTTCTAGATTCAGTGTCTTAGTCTTTCGCTACTAAACAGTACGTGAACCTTAGTACCAGTAATTCGGTGTTCCTATGGACTTGAGTGCCAATGGTATCATTTTTATCAGTTTTTCAGTATTGACATCAACACTACACATCTCTGACAATAGGACATTTGCTTTAATATTTAATACTTCTTAGTCTTATTCATTATAATGATGAACACAGCTGGAAATAAGATGTATGCTGTCGTTGCATGACATATTAGTAGGAGTGCAACAAATTCAAAGCCTTAAGATTTTGTATCATTTATTTTGGATTTGGTTTTACATGACCTAAATCTCAAAGAATTTAGTCAGATAAGGTAACATCAACAACGATCTAGTTGACTAGAAGTATATCACAATCAAAAAAAGTTGTTCACATTTGATATTAGATCTCTAGTATTCGTATTGAGATTTGTTCTTGAACAGAAATCATATAAATAATTTATGTTTTAATAAAGATTATCATATCAAATCAAATCTCAAAGTCTTTGGTCTAAAATCTATTCTAGATTTATTGCATTCCTACATGTTAGACTTAAAGTATCTCGAATGCACATCGAAAGTGGAGAATAGAGATGTGGATTAGGATACATACAAGGTTTCTACTCACACTGATATTCATACACCTGCAACGATTAGTCTGATAAGTGTCGTAGCAAAATGGCATTTGTTTAAGAACCAGGTCATATTGACCAGTTAAAATATATCAAATACTCTATTGTTTCGTAATTCACATTAAGAATGTTTTAATGTATTTTCAAACCAAACTACTTAGTACATTTCATATATAGTAAACAAAAAATTTTTATTTTTAGGAAGAACCGATTTATTCTCGAGATAATATTCATATTTTACGGTCAAAACAAACTTGGCTTAAAGAAGCTCGACAAGTTAATCACGGTGAAGAGCCATATAAAATTGTCGAAGGACGAATAAAAAATGTTAGTGTTTAGTTAAAAATATGTTTTTGTATTGAATTATCATTTTTAGATTGATCGTAAAATGGGTGTAACAACAAGACCAGAATTAGAATTATTTGGTGAATGGCAAACATCAGAATATGTTCCACCAGTAGCAAAAGATGGTATTGTACCATGTAATGAATATGGAAATGTTGATTTATTTAAACCGGAAATGTTACCACATGGTTGTGTACATATTGTTGAACCAAATGCAGCTCGACTTTGTAAAAAATTAGGAATTAATTATGCTGAAGCAATTACTGGTAAATAATCAAAAAGAAAATTTTTTTAAAAGAAGAATTCTTTTTTTTATGTTAAAATTTAATTAGGCTTTGATGCACATGGTGGTGGATCTCATCCAGTAATGGAAGGTATTGTTATATGTAAAGAATATGAACAAACTTTACGTGATGCACTTGAACAACAAAAACAAATAGCTATCGAAAAAGAAATTAAGAAAAAAGAAGATCGAATCTATAAAAATTGGAGAAAACTTATTCGAGGTTTAATTATTAAACAAAATCTTGCAAAGAAATATGCTGATGATGATATTGATGGAACAGAAATGGCAACTGATGCTAAATATCAATGGCCTATACTACCAAAAGATGATAACGATAATGACGAAGATTTTATGTAATAAAATGTTTAATTTGAATTTAGTGTAAAGTTATTAGATTTTTTTTTTGTTTCTTTTTACCCTCGCTATATTCAATATTTTTCTTGAAGTAAAGATTCAATATTTATATAACAACAAAACCTAACATGAACTGAATACGTTTCTTATTTTTGCAAAAATACAAAATTTTATTTAGATTTTTTTTATTTTTCTAATGAAAACATTGTATAACAATGGAATAAAACAAATAGCTATTGCTTTATTAACTAATCAATATTAAGAATATCAATAAGTGGCTTTTGTTGATATTATTAAAGATTATTTCCTTCACGTTAGTGTGGATATCTTTGGATATTTCAATCTTCAATAATAATTTGTTCATATGTTGAAAACATTATGTCAAAAAATCATCGAAGAAGTTTTTTTTTGTCTCGACGGGTTTCCTTCAAAACTTGTAACCATTTTACTGATTTTTCGATATAATTGAATTGAGCGATGAAATTTTTCTTATAGATAAATAACTATAACTTTTGAAAAGAATTTAACTGATCTAAATCTTGATTTTTTTTCTTAGAATAATGTCATCAAGATATGAATAACAAAAAATATTATCTCAAAAACAAGGTGAATCAGTTAGAAATTTTTCGTTATTAGATCGAGAAGTAAATTTTCCTTGTTGAGATTCTAATTCTTTTCTTGTTCAACACAAGAAAATGCTAGCAGTTATTTTAAAGAGCAAAACGATAAATTACAGCGATAAAATTTGATAACTAGTTCAAAGCTGTTAAACTTCTTTTCTCTGTAATAAAAATTTATTGCCGGCAGAATTATAGATTTGTTACCATGAATTTCCGATGATTTCCTTTATTTTTAATTTGAAAAATATGCTTCGTTTATTTCTCTGTTTGTATTTTCTTGATCGTGCATCTCAAAATTCTACATGAAACTCTATTGTAAGTAATCACTTTTCATTAGTTTGAAAGAGCATGTGAAACTGCAATGCCTGGCAGAACATGTCTATTGAATTAAACATTTTTATTATTATGCAAAAGTGCATTTCTATAAATAAATGTTCGTCTTTTAGGAGCTTGTTAATGCACTGAACTTGCCATGGTTTTTCTCCGTAAAAAAAGTAAGAATTGAAGAAAAAGGACTGAGTTAGACACTGCAGTCTTACATACTCTTTCAAGTAGAAAAAAAACACACTAAATATATAGGATGACGATCCACAGAGTATTGAATGTTGTGAAATGAGCGATTTTTCACTGCTGTTTGTTGAACATTTCCAGAAAACATTATAGTAAAGAGCTAAAAACTTCATATGATTTGAATATACCTGATCCAAGATTGATTTCTGAATGTGTGGGAAGCTTAAATATATCAAAATTTACAAAACCACTTGTGTTTTTTTTGTGTATGTTGTCTCTAGAGATTAGAACTTTTTTCATTAGAAACAAAAGACGACAGAAAAGGAAAAAACAAATCTTTCTTCGTTTGATAAAAAAGGTCAACAAAATAGGATATGAAGAAATTTTTCATTCATCATTTCTATAGAATACTCTGACTTTGTATATTCTTAATCGTATTCAAATAAAGACTAGTTGAAAAATAAATTATTTAAATACATAATTAAACAAATAGTTAATCAATGCTACATGTGACAAACAAACAAACAAATTGTTATTTATTTCTTCGATATATTGTTGATAATCGAAATTAGGTGCTTTTTCTTTCAAACTGTCAGACTTGTATTTACGAAATGATGTTTTCGTTTTATTTTTACCTCGTTTGAATGATAAATGGATGTACATGTTTATTTTGTTTATTTTATACAAGCAATTATAAATCTATATTTAACTATATTCTTGATTATCATGATTTATTATACCTATTGTTAAATTTAGACGATGCAATAATAATGATTAGTAATCCTTATTACAGTTTTATCAAATAGATGACGAGAAAAATTTTCAATCTTACAAAAAGTCCTTAAAGTTCTGTTTAAACTCAATTATGATGAAACGTTTTGACAACCCTAAAAGAAAACATTGAATTCAAATTGACAATACTATTCTTGTAATGAAAACAACTTTTATTTAAAATTATTGTTTTTTTTTGTAGAATCATAAGCTTTATACGTAAACATACTATTTTGATATAATTCATATCGTTCAGTTTTCATCAATTTACAATATATGTAAATAAAAGAAATTATTTGTAAGTTTTTTAAAATAAATACTATGAGGATTGATTCAATTTAAAAAATTTCTATGTATTAATTAACTAAAAAAAGTTTATTTGCATCTTTTCAATATGAATTCTGTTCATAATCTCATTAAAACTAAGAGAAATTCAAGTTTATTATGTAATATACTTATTATAAATTATTTATAGTAAACATTCTAGATTAAAAAAAAAATGTGTGCCTCATCAAATATAGACTTATTATATTAATGCTTCCGTTGTCCTTGATTGTGTCAAGAGCGTTGCCAGGAAAAACAAGGTTGCGTCTATGATTTTATTTCATTATATGATGCATTGATGGTTAATTATGTAATAGAAAAAGAAAAAGTTATATTTATAAGTTTTTTTCTTTCTGAACTAAACTATAAAAATTTATATAACTAAATTTCATTAGAATAAATGTTGATAAATTAATAAGTATACTATTCTTTAAATTTCTTATTTTGTTATTGTTAAAAATAAGAAATAATATGAAGTAACTACCTTGCTTCAATATTTCAAAGCAACAAAATCATTAATGCAAAAAAGTGTGCTCAAGATAAATATCTTTTCCACTCAGGTTAGATAGGTGTATACTGATTTGTTTTTTCTATGTGATAAAAAAAGACATAAAAGAGATGGATCTAATTTTGTTTGTTTTTTTTTTCGACTAATCGACAAAGTATCTATACTTAAGTTACAAAATAGTTTTACTATCATCACGTGCAGACAAATTTTTCACTTAGTAAAAGGTGACCGAAACCTTTCTTATCAGTTACTTGTATATACTACATAGGAATATAAATAATAACTAGAGAAAGAAAAATAATATCTGAATGCTAGAGAAAAAAATGCTACTATGTATAATCATATGAGTAAGAAAAAAGAAAGAAAGCAAAAATAGTTTGATCTTTTCCTTCTCGCCACTTGCTACCCGTTCTTTCATTGAGTACATTTTATATTTTAGCAAAAAAAGAAGAAGAAGAAGAAGAAGAAGGACGGTTAACTTGCCATACTCCTTAGGCGTAAATTATATAGTCGCACTTTATTTTATTTTACGGTAAATGTTCTGATGTTTTTTTTTTAAATTTTTACTAACCATGACCGTCATGGATTAAGATAGTTAAGATTTTTATTCGTCAGAGTAGAGTTTATTTTTCTTTTTTTTACAGAGAAAAAAATTTGTTGGTTCAAAAGTAGATTCATTCATCAAGCGGTGTGTTGCCTATGTGTTTATTGAATTAGAATATAAGTCACAGTTAAAATGTGGTATATAAAATTTATTTCACGTGACATTCGCTTGTTTATGGTTACATTGAAATAGATCATTGCAGAACATTCCCCTTCTGACCTATATATGAAGAGTAACGATAATGCACTTTGTAATATGTATTTATTTTCTGCATAAATTATTTAGTAAACAGATAAGATGTAAAAATGAAAGTCATTTCTTTTAGTTTAAGTGGTATATAAGAAGTATTATTGAAGTTTTCTTTTGCATTAGTGATTCTACTAAGCGAACATGAAATCGTGTCACTTTAATCAACATATTTTTACTTAATTATTATTTTTAAAGTTTGCTTTTAGCTGTTAACCATGTTTGCCAATTTCATTTTAATTAGTATTCATACAAAGCAAGATCATCAAAGCCATACGTCTAAGATAAAATCAAGGAAAAGACAGAACAAAAATAAAAAATTGACGTTTTTTTCCAAGCCATTCTAACTGAAAAAATTCTGAGCATGACCTAAATTCAATTTTTTTTTATTCCTTTCGAGTTGTTTTTGTATTAAAGAATTCTAATTTAAAACATCGATAGAGATGTATTAATCAATATTTTATTTACAAAAATTCTACTTTTTAATTATGTTTCTCAGACGCGAATAACTTATCTAGTAACAAATAGAAACAGATTCATTTTTTAAACTTGCACAGCCTCACGCTGTATGTGCTTTATATTGTCAATAATGAATACATCAATTTTTATTGAGTCAGTTTGACATTTTTGTTTTTCATAGAACAACAAAAATTCAGCAAGTCGGCAACATTATTTTTCTTAAGTACTAATATTCTTTGCAAAAATAATTTCAAGAACATTTGTACCATTTTAAAATATATTCATCATTTGAGTTAGTACAGTTTTACATTCTTAATATTTGCGTCAACAAAATAAAGGATATTTGTGTATGACACAATCATACTTTGTTCGACACAATTTATTTTTTTGTCACGTTTTAATCGAGACGAAAAACGAAGAAAAAACAACCTGGTTACTACAATACATTTACTACTACTGTTTTCACATTACTGTGACATTGTTATTAAACCAAACAATAAGGTAAATTTCAATACTTTAAATGCAAAGAAAACATCGATATTCATGTGTTTTTTGATTATTACAAAACTTCTATAATTATTACTTTCATTTCTATAAAGTTTCCAAATGAATACGTTATAGATGCAGTGTGATGAATTGTCAATTTCCTTTTCACGGTACAATAGAATATTCCATGTATATCTTTTCATTTTTGCTAAAGCTCTCGACACATTAGAAGACCCCTTGAATAAATGATGCAAAAGACATATTAAAAGACCCCTAAAAAAAAAACGGTATTTTGAAATAGTTTCTGGATTTTATTGACTTTTTTAGTATTTAAATCCAGAATTATATCTAGCTTAAGTACGAACAACATTTTGCTTCCGTCCTTGTAACGAAGTGTCAAATCTGAGCGAGTAAAATCTTGAGAAACATCAAATCTGAAACATTTATCTATGAAAGATTGCATTTCTTTGTTAAAAGCATATCGTAGAGTGATTTTAGTTCTCCTTTATAGCTTACTCTGAAAACATTCTTCAGGTTCTATACATGAAAAACACGCTTTCATGATCATAGGGTCTGATGAACACAGTGCATATGCATCTGTACAACACATGAAGAAATCTTTGTAAAATAGTAACAGATTAGGTAAAATGCTGCTGTGTATTAATTAAAAAGCCTCTTCATCTTTGGCTTTCTTCAAGAAAATCCGAAGTGTTTGTACCACGAAACAGTCTTTCATAATTGAAACAAACATAACTTCATGTATATACGTCATGGTTTTATATGTGAGTATTTCTCTTGAGTTTCAGAACGTATTTCTTTTCTCAATAAAATTCAAGGCATTTTTCGAAACAGACGCAAAAGAAAATACAAACTGTGTATTCAACTGCTGATTTTCTATAAATAGTTTCCTCACAAAACAACCGTATTCCTTGAAGTTATCTTGGGACTAATAACTATGCAAGTGACAAAATTCACTGTGAACAAATTCCATCTAAACTAATCAAATTTCCACATAGGTAGCTGAATTAAATGAATTCGATAAAAACAATTTAATTTTCTTTTTTACATTTATTTAGTTATTAACAAGATAAAATGTTGCCAGTGATAGGTCTTACGTTAGCCTTGAGGAAAAAGAACGTAACTAGATATCGTACCAAAATGCTAGGTTACGTTGACCATATTGTTCTAAGAGCACTTCTTACCAACAATGGTCTTCCTTTTTTTTTATAGGATAATATCTCTTTCTTTGTTATTCTAGACACGTGAAATAAGTGAAACAAACTCGTTTAATAACAATATACTGGACAAAAATCAAGTGAAACTAAGATTTGCTGGCGAGACCATCAAAAAAGATGACTTTTTTTAGGGACATAATAAAAGACCTCCCTTTTAACTTATGAACGATAAGACACAATAGAAGATCCCGAGTCTTCTAATGTGTCGACGGCTTTACATCTTCATGACTTTTTTGAAATGACATCCACTTAGTATCATAAGAGTTGCATTATACTCTTCATGTAAATATGGTTGTAAGTGTTTGTATTTTTTGAATATAGTGTAGAGTTAACTTAGTTTGTCAAATATTCGCATCGAGAAATTAAAAATTGAATGGTGTAAGAACGAACATTTTTAATGTTATTATATCTTGTTTTTTTTTTGTAGGCTATAATTCTTGTAAAGATTAGAAAACTTTTCACAACCTGTGTAAAAATACGTGCACGTTAAACAACACGTGAAGATTTTGCGTTTGTTAAATTTCAATTTTCAAAAGGAAAATTTTCATCTGCTCTATCGAAACACGAATAATATCGACGCAGCAGTATTTATTGCCCCCTTCCAAAGGAAAAAAAAAAGAATTGAATCGCGTGTTCGTGTAATGTGCTGAAAATATTTAATAGGCACGTGCGCTTAGGCACTGAAAGCGAACAATATTTTTATTAATAGGTTCTAGTTGACCTAGTTCGAGTTTTCTGTACATTAATTCTTCACTTTTAATAACAGAGTATTACTTCAAGGTGCCGCCGGTACACAGGCTAACATTTAATTATACAAAACTCGTTACTTCCTTTCAAATGTTTCTGAAGACTATCCCAATGAATAACTTATACTGTTTGCCATCAATGACGGCAAAATTGTTGATATTTTTACGAAAATTTTAGTTCACTGTACAAATATATCAATCTAGTGCGATGAGAAACCAGCGTTTGAGTGTAATCAAGCTTATGAAGCCAAAGTCTAGGATACATTCTGGTCTACTCAAGGGTTCTGAGGTCACTACCTATTGATATGGTGATAATATCTTTCATTCATTTCTCTTTTGTAATGAAGGATCAATCAAAAACATTTGTTCGCTTTGTATGAAACGAGCGTCTTACATACGATGCATGACAACTAAAATCGAATATGTTTGCTATGGAGAAAAAGACGTAAGGAAAAGAATGAAATATATATATGTTTACAATATCGTTACATCCCGTTCGTCTTTCTATGCGTCGATTGTATTTTGTTATTCTCTTATTCTTGCTCCTAATATTCCTTGTCGACCAATACATTATTTCTATCAATATCTGATGTATTTGATGTTCTAAAGAATATATCTATCTGTCGAACGATCACGTGGTAATAGCATAGACTTCTTTTCTTTTATATTTTCAGTTGAAAAAAAAAAAACATTCAAGATAAAAATAAAACGACCAGTAATAAAAATGGAATGACAGTATATGTTCTGTTTTTTTTTCTTCTATTTAGTAGATTCTAATCAAGGTCATGGTGCTCTGTATTTGTCTACTAACGTTTATGACATATCTTTATCTTAATTAGTATTGTTTTTACATTCTCTAGATATTGTAGTAATATGGCTTTACAAAATCATAGTGAAAATAAAAAACGTGTATTAGAGGATTGCTTATCTTCAACAATATCATCATCAACATTAGAAATTGTGCTTGATGATCGATCATACAGTAATTCAGCTGATGAAGAATTCATTGATCCAAACAGGTATATTTACAATGTTTTGTTTTTTTTTCATTTTAATATATTATTTTCTTGGAAAAATAGCAGGCAATCAAAAGTGGGTACTACTGGTAATGAAAGCTCCGATTTTCGAAGGGGAAAATCAATGGCATTAAGAGTTCGTTGTAATAAAATTTTAAAAAATCTCCATATGTTTTTGGTATTTTAAAAAAAATAGGATCCAAAATCTCATCGATTAATTGAAAAACGTCGTCGAGATCGTATGAATGCTTGTCTTAATGAACTATTACAATTAACACCTCATAAAAATAATGAAACTCAACGACGTATTGAAAAAACAGAAATCATCGAAATGGCTATTACTCATATGCGCCATTTAATATCAACGTTAGAAAAAAATTGTAAGATAATACTTAAAGATCATATTTATTCATATAATTGTTCTATTTTTAATAGCTAACAATACTGATACAAATCTTGATTCATATCGAACTGGTTATCAAAATGGACTTTCTGATATATTTGACTTTGTTAGTGAATATGCCCAGAGTGATCAACTTAACGAATTCGCACAATACTGTAAAGAAAAAGAAATTGATGTAAAAAACATAACCGGTCAGAATTACAAATTTGATAAAAACATACAGAATACAATTAATTGATTTCTTTTTAAATATTTTAGTTCAGCCAGATAGAAAACGATCGAAATATTTATCTTTATCTGATAAACGAATTCAATCACCAATATGCGCTAAAGAAGAATTAAAAAAATCTAATTTATCAAATAAGAATGATGATAAATTATGTACTATATCTGACGTAGAAGAATATAAACATAGTGATTTACAAACTTCAATCGGAGAACAACAATCTTCAACTGAACAGTATGATTCTGCTGTTAAAGTGCCAATATTTGTTCTACATCCATCTGGTACACATTATATTCCAATGTGTATTGATTCATCGATTGTTTCACATGCCTTTAAACAACATTCCAATAGAACTAATTCATCAACAACAAAAGATCAAGCTCAATGTCATCCGGTATCAATTCCTGTAAATTTTAATCCAACAACAGCTCTTTCAGATCCATATGCACTTGATATTCAAAATATAAATGTTATCGGTACTCGTCATCAAACGAGTGTAAGACCCAATTAACTAGACATATAAAAAGTTTCGTTTTCTATTGTCGTTTTTTTCTTCAATGCATTTAATACGTATATGTTATTATCATTCGATTTATCTGGTTTTTAATGAAGACAATCTATGTCAAAAGCAGAAAAAAAAACATTGAAAGAATAATGTAAAAGAAAAAAAATACGTTACAGATAGATAGCAAAGAAAGAAATAAAGGTGATTGGTATTTATTTAAATAGAAATATACACTCCAGACGTTTACATATTCTACAGGATACCTTACATTATATTGGTTAGTAGGTTATTGTCAATAAAATGATTACTCTTATGCTTGTCACATGAAACGTGCACAAAAGTAATCGACCTCTAGCTTCGATGAAATGTCCTTACAAGGCATTTCTTTGTGTTATACCAAAAGGTTTTTTCTCAGCTGTTTTTTCATTGAACTTGAAAGTAAAGTGTGTTCACATGTATGCAATTGCTTTACTTATTACGAATGATTATTGGTGTCTGATTTCAAACAATGTCTCGCTTTCTTGAATATATGTTAACTGAATTAAGATATTGTCAAGGAATAATATACGAGATTTAACTTTTATTATTAGACTATATGCTTCTTGATTTTTTTTATTCGAGAAACAATAAGAAGTTATTGTTTACTGAAATATTTTTATATTATCTCTAAATATTTTCGAAGATTAATCATAATGATTTTTTCTTGTTTATCAAATATGCTTGCTATGCATTTTATGTTTAAAAGACGTAACTGACCCATATAAAAGATAATCCTGCGATTATGATGTATTGTCTTTGATTCCTAGGTAAATTACTTGTAATCCAGAAACAAAAAAAAAACACTATGAAGATATTTTTCTATTAAAGTACTTTATATTTTATTCGATTTTCATGTGATATTATATCAATTCTTATTAATCTCAATACAGATACAATAATAAATGTTCGAAAATTTGTTTCTATCTGACGAATTTCTTTTGTTTTCAATTGATATATCTTTAAAGAAAAATTTTATCTAACATACAATGCATTGTTGATAAAACACCTATATGTAAAATTGGTTATTCCCAAGTGATGATTCATTTCGTGTAATCAATATTTTCATATTACAAATATATGTTCCCGTTCACCTATTATTGTATAAAAAAAAAGACATACATTAGAACGTGCTCTTCTAAATGAGTATCGAGTGATCAATAAAAAATATATTTGTCACATAATAAAAGCTTATTTATTACGATTATTTTAATCATTACAAATGAAATCATAGACTGATTTCGAACTATTGTATGATTAATTAGATACTTACTATTATAACTTAATACAGCCAGTGTCATGCATTAATTTTGTCTATAGAAAGAAAGACTTCAACATGAAATACCAAACTGTTACAATTGAAAGACTAGTTTTATTTCATTTGGATCTTTTATTAATCTTTAACTAGTTTTGTAAAGCATTCTGTTCTGATATTTTTTTAGCTTACCATATTTTAATTGAAATTTCACTAATTTTCTGCTTAGTATTTGATTTCTTGTCTATCCTAATGATTCTCAATGCAAAAAAAAAAGATGATGAATTTCCATAAAAATGTCATTCAATGTCCATGTTAGTTATTTCCTAAGAAGAATTCTTTCCTTTCACATATTTTACTGATGCATATGCATGGCATCCGTTATAGAAAGCTACAATAATAAATATTCAATTAATCATAGAACCATTTAAAAGTAATTTTCACATGCGAATTCTTCGCTTAAGACAAACGTCGTTTCCATCATTTGATTATTAATTAATTTACTTTTACATGTGACGTAGATGAGAAGAGAATCAATTTCTAATCCTTTTGCCGAGTGCATTTTTTTTCTACATGAAAAGAGTTCTACAAGAACATTTTTTTATATGAAGCAGGCTAAGATTTCTAGGTCATATTTTATATATAAATAATTATTTAATTTATATATGGCAAGTCTTTGCAAAGTGTATTCAATATATGATTTATAAATTATGCATGATATTAAAGAAAGATCTATAAAATATAAAGGATAAAATGACAAGAAAAATGAAAGCAAAAGAATTTTATTCTTCTTTTGAACTGGCAAGAGAAAAAAAACAACATGAAGAAATGTTGTAATGTGTTTTCTTTATGATAATTGATATAAAATTTAATAAAATAGAATTCATTTCATTGTACAATTTAAAAACTTACTCAAATACACATCATAATAGCTTAGTGGAGTTTTTTTCTTTGGGGACCAAACTTATTATTATCTATAACATGTGTTCGATTAGTAACAAGACAAATTCAATAGAGTAAAATTGAGTTAGAGTGTAGCGAACCTCAAGCCTTGATATTTCGTATTATTTGGTTTGGATTTGAGATTAGCTCTGAATTTTATTTGGTTTCAATATCAAATGACCTAACTTTGGAAAAGGATTTAATAGGATAAAGTGACATCAACAAAGATCTACTAGACGTATGTTTGGGATTTATGACCGAATCCTTACTATTTGTGTTTATTCTTGTATAGAACTCTGCATCGAACTTTGAAACTCGACTCTGATGAAGTCGTAATCGAAGTCAGTATCGGAGTTACCTCATAAAAGCAAACAATTATTTTTCCTCTTACATAGCAATAATTTTATGCTTCATATGTTAAGTTATGAACAAAAATAGACTTCTTTATAGATTTATAAAATAAATTTTAAGAAAAAAAAATCAGAGGAAAATATGCATTAAGGACAAGCAGTAAAAGAAGCATACTGTGTCTTCACAAATTGATTATATAAATTCAATTTCGCTTTTTTCCATAATAGTAATTATCTTGAAGAATCAAAATAATGAGTTGAACAAAGAAAATTATTTTGATCAAGGATTTAGAAGAAATAAAAATTTCACAGAATTCTCAAAATCTAAGGTCTCTAGAAAACCTCAAGCTTAGTGTTTCAACACTTAGAGCCCAAAAACAGTTTTCTTTTGATTACATAGAACGATTAACTCTCTAGAAAATAACACGTCTTCGAACATTTCACGACATTTTCTGAATGATCTATATCGATATCAAGAAACGTGAAAAACAAGTTTTTTATGAGAATATTATGAAGATTTTATGTTCATCAAATTAATAGTAGAAAGAATTTTCTCTTTTCAAGTAACTATTTTGATTCTTTATGTAAGTTATCATTATGAAAAACATCAAAATTGAATTTATATTATTAATTTTTCGAGTTACTATATACACCAGTCAAAAAAAACTTTCGAAGTCGAAAAGACTTGATTTTGCAGGGCTCCAGTCTCGAACAAAAATAATATAAATAGTTTGGGTTTCGATAATGGTCACCAACTTTCAAAGTATTTATGTGGATTTAGTTCGTAATCAAATTCATGCTCTAAATCTATTCTTGACTTGTTGTACTTCTAAAATCAAACAATGAGTACGGGAACGATTCAAACTTGAAGATATAATGTACTATTAGTCGTTTCTTTTTTTATACATTAGAAATGGCATATTCGGAAGTATTATGGATGAATATTCAAAATAATAAAAACCGATTGTCTTTAAGCTATCAAATAATTCCCATCAACGAGAATACGATCGAACTTAGTCAATCATTATCCATTTACGATTTTCAAGTACTGTGCAATTTGATCTTGACCGATTCTTTATAGATTTAAGAATTCATTTAATTATTTCTTGGAAATTCCACAAGATCAACTGTTTTTAGATAAAAATTTCTGTGCTTTTATATTCATGATACTTGCATAGATTCTAATAAGCTTTCAATGAATGATTTCATTGAGGTGACACAAATCTTGATTATTTATTTTATTATATATGATGATTGTCATTATTATTGAAGCAGTTTCGCTTTAGAAAAAAAAAAACTCTTTGATAGATTTTACTTCTTGTTTTCCGACGATATTGTCAATGTTAAGAGAATCGACGAAAATCTGCAGATTTACTTCTGATTCAATCACATTTGATGATTTCTCAATTCGGTCCTGATATTATCAATAAAAATGATCAGTATTTTTAAAACATACAGATACATTATGTATATACAATGACTCTCAAAAACTATTCGACAAGATTTATCTTCAATTTCTTTCCACTGTTGTAAACTCTTACAAGAGACTAAATAGTAATTTGCGTAGAGAATTTTATTGCCAACAAGACTTTTTTAATATGAAAATGATAGCCAGTTTTTCATTTCCTAGAATGGTGTTGGAATAATCTAGCATAATAGAACAAACAATTCTCTACATATTAGAATATCTTTCAGCTTTCCACAACGCTTTCTGATCTTACAGAAGGTATAAAAGTTGTTTTTTCTGCAGTTTCGTATTGGAACATCGTTTGTTCTATTATTTTGAATAATATAAACAGAATTAGCAGAAGAGGAAATAATTACATTTGGGTTTTTTTAGAGACCCTCTTTTTGAAAAACTGACTATAATTCTCATCTTAAAAAAATCTCTATACAAATTATTATTTGGATCCTTATTAGTGTAAATGTGAGTGAAATACAATTTGAAAATAAATCTTATCAAATAAATTTGGAAGTCTCACTGCATTATGAAAAAGCAACTAAACTGTTTGTTTTTATTTCTACATGTATTTCGTTTCATTTTTACGATTTTGCCACATTGAATTAGTGATTGTAAACCTTGATAATTAAGTACAAATGCATTACGATGTGCAATTGTGAATCGCATGTTACTTGTTATTCATTTTTCGTATTCAATACATGTGTCTTAATAATGATCATTGACACATCATTTGGTTTAAGCCGGATTATGATATAGATCCTGCTCAACCAATGACCATTCAAGAATGAATTTGATACTTTTGTTTTTAGTTTAGATACAATCTTCATCTTCATTCACAAGAGAACTAGCCGAATGTAGGCACGCTATTTAAGCTTATATTGAATTCACAAGAAGGTTTTGGTTAGACTAGGAAAATTCTGAAAGTGTATCGAATTTCCAACAAATCGTTGTTTGCCACAAA